ACTGTATGTGTATGTGGATGGATTACGGGTATGAAGCTTTTGGTTTGGCTGGGTGGTGTGCACAAGTGCGAGCGTAATTGTATCAATTGAACATTGTATGTATGGGTTCCCAGTAGGAATTTTTTGCAATTAATTCGTAACTTGTAATATTGATGTGTTATAAATATATGATTAATTATTATTGTAAATTGAATACTACAGCTTCAGCACCTAAAATGTGAAACGCGTCTTTCTTGAAATGAAAAATATGACAACGAAGGTATTCGGAGACTATAGAACGTATGCTCTTGAAATTTAAATTGTAGTTTTACAGTAAATTGAGTACGACTTTGTTAATATTGAAATATTTTTATAAACAATTTATAGCTAAATTTTGGGTATACAAGCATGTTATATATAGATTAAGATTTTTTAGATTATGTTTTCTTAATTTAATATTTCATATGGTTTACATATGTCACTTTCATTACTAATATTCTGTGTTCTGAAAATAAAAGTCAACTTGGCTTGTTCCCCATCAGTTATATAGTTCCTACTGGGTCAGTTCACTTAAAGTGGCAATAACACAAATACATATGAACAATTGCATATCTTGATATATGTTTGTAAAGATCGTAAAGAGGGCACACTTTGGGTCAAGCGAAGAGGCCTCAGAAAATCTTTTGCACACGGCACCAAGAATTTTCATAGCTCTTAACCAATGCGCGCAACACCAACAAAATATATAGGTATGTACATACATATATATTTAATATGTGACTGTTAGACAATAATCTTTACTTTAGACTATATAATAGAAACATTAGTTAACCACAACAACAGTCTTCATCTGAGGTTATAACGTCTGCTTTCAAAGTGTTAAACCTACAATAACAATAAAAACATTCTCAAATTTCTAATTTCAAACAAATAAGAAAGAAGCAAACATGCCTTGCCCATGTGGAACCGGTAAGTGTACTCAGTCTAAATATATGTAAGTTCATACATGTTTAGGCCCCTTAATAGTCCTTTAAGGCAACTTTTTATGTAAAAAAAAAACATTTTATCTGAAAATTGCACGTTTTAGTCAATAATTATTTTTTATTGGCAGGTTGTCAATGTGGCACTCAGCCTAAGAGCGGTAATTGTGGCTGCGGCGCGGCGTGCAAGTGCTGTCCATGCGGAAGCGGTGAGTTTCAGTTTCCAGTTGGTTTGAAAAATGAAGTCAAGTGTTTTCCTTTAAAAAATACATATATACATATTTGTGTTTGTTGTAATTAATAAATGGTTTGATGTCTATTTTGTGTGGTTTTAGGTTGCAAGTGTGGTTCGCAAACTCAGAGCGGCAGTTGTGGTTGCGGCAGTGGCTGCAAATGTGGACAATAAAGAACACAGTATTAAATTTGAAATAATATACTGTACTAAATATTTCACAATAAAAATGTAATATTTTACTATTGTAAATGTACTTACGTTGAGATAAATATTGGTCAGTTTTAAACGAAAAGCCATTATACAAGTAAATTGAGCTTAAGTAAGGTTTTTTAGTAGTCCCACTATGACAATATTGTTCAATTAATTTGAGTCAGGTTGTGTATTGAATTTATATGACAATAATAATATGTATGTATGTATATACTTGTATCTTCTTCTATTAAAAGTGACCATAAAGTTTACTGAGATTTCCAGTCGATCAAGGATTGACTAGGACTTAAGATAGAATATTGTTAAATTAGAGAGACAAGTGTGGATTCTTGGGTGAGACATTATTTCGACCTCCGCTTTCAGCCGACTAGCAAAATCGAGATATAGAAATACATATGCATATAAAATAGTTCGAATGATTATCTCCGCGATACACATACATAACTGTTTATAGTTGTACCCAAGATATTGGGGAGCACACACTATTTATCTAAAATTAACACTTGCTTTATTTCAGAGAAACGCTCGCAAATACTTTTTAATCAAAATGCCCGCATATGGGGCGTAAGCAATTTATTTCACTTCTATACAATATGTTGTATATTTAATGTTGTATACACATTGAATAAAAGCACAAATTAGTTTATATAACGAATTGAAAATGCGTCGAAAAAGGTAGCGCCCAGGTTCGTATAGCGAAAACCAATATATAGGATCGCTGTAGCAGCTGTCCAAAAATCGAATGTCCGTTTTGCGATGATCCCGTCCTTTTTTCTTAGGTGTCTTCGTGCATGTTGTACTCAGAGGTTGAGTGTGGTGGTGTCATCATGTGTAGTGTTCTCAAATGTTGAGTCCGGTGTGGTGTGTTTCATTAGGGTGTGCCAGTTTTACACAGTAGAGTGGGTGGTATTAGTAGGGGTGGCTTATCTCATTTGAATGTTTGTTACATGATATAGACTTGAAATTTCCTACTCAGAATTGGTAAATGGCATGAGATCAGACCAGCGGTCTTTATACACACGTAGCATATATGATGGGTTGAATTCCAAGAAGAGGTACCGACTTTTTGACAGCATCAGCAGGGTCGTGTCATAGCTGTCATGTTCTTTGTGTCGTATTGTTTGGTTATTTTCATGCTATCGATTAGAGATTCCGGTAAATCGAGTTCAGACTTGCAGATGGATTGTCGCTACTCCGCTTCTTCGGCTCTGACAACCCAACCAATTATCTCAGCTACCCCAATTATAGTTCTTGAGTCTATCCCACTGCGTTGTTACCTCAAGCATTCATTTATTCAAGGATATTTAAGCATAGAACGACTGAGATATAGAACTAACACGCGTTGTAAAGAAATTATAATGCTGTCACGATTATGCTGAGATGTGGATACTACGACATGGGACGTGGATAATGTGATACGAGGTGCGAACGTATCGTCGGAGCTAAGCTGGCGGAACTTGACAACGTATGGAGAAACGAGCTAGCTCACAATTTTCTATCATTCGTAGATGTTTAAAAGTTGGAAAGCACCTACAATAAATTAAGTCTTGTGGTCAAGGAACTGAAACCATTACGCTCCGCACCTTCCCTTTAAGTGACATCCGCTTCGGGATCATAAGGGCTCTTGACATAAGCTCTATAATAGCGCAGATTCAGACCTTTACGTGCACACATTATATGCTTTGGACGATGAGGTCACCTCATGATTAAAGATGGACTCAAATGGAGATAGCTCGATAACGAACGCGACATTGTCGGACATTATACGGCACAGCTGCCAACCTTGGCACATGGTCATAAGAGAGTGTGATTGGAGTGCACACACCAGTTTAGCACTTTCTTTTCGGAAGTGTGTCCACGCCACTATAGTATATAAGTCAAATGTTGTCTATGGCGGACTTGTAGCTCAGCATCTGAAATTACGAAGGACACCTGGAGGCCAAAAGCTATCGTCGTGATCATTTCACCAGTGTTCAGTCGAAATGTTTCGATATGAGTCACTCATAACGGTGGATCTGAAGTACGGATATGGACCATCATAAAAAGTATAATGCTAAACGACTAGAATAAATCTTTCGACATGATGATTAAACAATCCCAATTTATAGTATATTAAGATCGTGGGTATGAGTAAAAAAATCCGACTTTTACACGCTTAATCTCACAAAAAGTAATGTGGCTTAGACAGCACTCTACGGACATTTCTCCAGTATGAGTTTCTTAATTGTAAAACGGACAGTTTGTCGCTTTTTTATTATATCAAAAATCATTCGTCGTGAACTGAATAATACTTCTTACTCTCATTCTGCTGCATGATACTTGTTGATAGACTACAGAGTATAACTATAGGGCTCACATTTCTCGCTTCTAAATTGAACCACACTCCACCGGCATGCTTGATATCACCGAGGGACATATCTCATCGGCATTCTCGTCTCTGAGGATCACCGTAGTATAAGCTGTAACTTGCCCACGTAGAAATTAAAGATCCAATGGATCTTTATGAAACTTGGTACCACAACCACGCTAACGGTTTGTATCTCACAACAGTATTCTAGCATAATACGGGTAACCACTGCACGCCCACACAATAGCCGCCATATATAAGGCAATCACCTAAGAAAAAAGGAGAGGATCATCGGCAAAGATACAGGGAGCATAATGTTTGCCCATATTAACTATGCTTCCATAATTGGAAGGACAGCCTGATACAGCGGTACTCGATGTTTCTTGAGGTGTATCCTAAGATATCACATTAATAGGTGAGGTGGTCTCATCCTCTCCGAGTTCAATAAATCGATACTCTTGTGAACAGACTGATGCCGGGTTTATGTCGACACCGCATTTATACTGTTGCGTACCATCCTAGATACGCGCTAAATGAACTATAATAACGCTAAATTCACTGAGAGACACATTGTTTTTAGCAACAACCTTGATTCTGAGACTCAGTCACTAACAATAATATATAGTGGCTAAACAATTCATTGATAGTGAAGAAACAGTGCACACATCACATCACCCTAGTAGACTACTGCTACTGTCCTTAAAAACACTATATAAGTATGATATGAACACGCAGATAACTAATGGCAGTTATGGAGAATACTCTAATAAGATTTAACATTCTCAGCGAGATGACGTACAAGAGTTACCTCTGATAATTAGAAGAAGCCGAAATATGTGTAATATATTAGGAAGACGTGCAAGTCGACCCAGGCACATGAGGGTGTGCAATCAGACCAGAGATTTATCACCATATTTGGCGACTAACACATTACTTATAATCTATTCACTATGTACAGTGATATCGATATAATGAGATATGCGTGACGACTAACCTACGTGTGAGATTCCAACTATTCGAACTATTTTATATGCATATGTATTTCTATATCTCGATTTTGCTAGTCGGCTAGAAAGCGGAAGGTCGAAATAATGTCTCACCCAAGAATCCCCTTGTCCTCTTAATTTAAAACAATATTCTAATCTTAAGTCCTAGTCAATCCTTGATCGATTGAAATCTCGAGTAACTTTATGGTCACTTTTAATAGAAGAAGATCAAGTATATACATACATAATTTATTATTGTCATATAATTCCAATACAACCTGATCAAATTAATTGAACAATATTGTATAGTGTAGGACTACTAAAAACCTTCTGTAAGCTCTCAATTTACTTGATAATGGCTTTTTCGTTTAACTGGCCAATATTTATCTCAACGTAAGTACATTTACAATAGTAAAATATTACATTTTTATTGTAGAAATATTTGTAGTGATATTATCTTAAAATTTAATCTGTGTGTTTCCTTTATTACACACATTTGCGGCGCCACTGCCCAACCCACAAACTGCCCGCTCTGAGTTTGCGAACAACTTGCAACCTAAACCACACAAAAATAGACATCAAACATTTATTATTACCAACACAAATATGTATATTGTATTTTTTTAAAGGCTAAATAACATTACAACTTTGTAAACTTCACATTCTGTGTTTTTTCTATATCTCAGCTACTGTAGAAACTGTAAACTCTAAACCGCACATTACCACTGTCAAAGAGAAACTCAAGAAACTCTTGCACGCCGATCACGAACTATCTGTCCATAATGTGTGAGCCACAATTACCGAGCTCATTTAGGACTGAAGACTGGAGCATCATCGGAAGAGAATCCGCATTCACTTCCTCAGATGTAATAAAAAATATGTACTGATATGATAAAAATAGCGACAGTGACAATTATATCTCAAGAGCTTACATAATTGAGCTTCTCTAACATTCGTATATATATACTGTAATCGAATGAGATTACAGAAAGTATAGCCTTAAACAAATCAGGGTATGCTTTGACATTTTTTACACGGGCGGCGTGCTGAAATCACAGATGTAGACTCAACTATTGACCCTTAAGTTGGATTCTGTTATATTATAATTTATCGGATACACGGTCTAGAGTTTGGAAGACATGAGCTAAACTATTTTTACTGACGAAAATATAAAAAAAATTCAGCAAAATGATTTTTATCACCGGAAATGACTTTGGATTGATATACTTACGGCTGTCACCATCATGAAGCCCGGCCGAAAATAGTTATGACGAGATACGTGTGCTATGAGATTGTCTCTATCTGATATATATTTGTATAGAAACAGGAATAGAAAGCTTGTGTTGCTGAAGGGTTTTACTTACGTGTTATGTAATTTTTCTCAAAAAAGATATGTGTTTTTATGTATACACATTCTTTTGTTTGCTTAAATAGTACATCATAGATTCGTTTAATGAGAAGTACAGCACAAGCACAAATTCTAGCATGATGTATGCGAGAGTAGTATATGGTGGTAGGTCCAAGTTACTATGTAGCTTCAATATATATAAAAATACTAAAAAAGAATTATTGTCATAACAGTAATCACTATATTAAATAATACAATTAACGGTTTTGTAATTGAACAATACAGTACTATAATATCGTAATATAGCTATGGTGTTAGCGCCTGTAGTCATGTGTCGCAATCAAATAATGAGCTCTGTCATA